GCCTTTGATGGTTTGTTTAGGGTTTTCGTATTTCACCTTTGCTATCTACTTCTTCTTCCTTTTTTTCAATTAACATCGGTTTGAGTAAAAAGTAAAAAAAATAAAAGAAGAAAAAAAATACTTTTTTTTAGAAAAGCTGAAATACTCTAACACTTAAGAGGAAGATCAATTAAGCTTCTTAGATCTTCTCTTCCAAAGGAAGAAGAAAGATGAGTTTTCATGCTCTCAAGTCTCCCATAACTCTTACAAAAGCTCCCTCGTCGGCTTCCTCTCCAAATCTCACAATCCTCTATTCTCTGGTATTTTCTCTACTCTACTGGCTTCTTTGCAAATGCAATCTACTTTATTGAAGTTGACTTTTTTAATCAAAAAACTTATAAACATTGTATTTTCTCTACTCTACTTTATCTCTAAAACAGACTGTCAACAATGAAAAAAAAAATAGTAATAAGTTAAGCTACAACTTGGCTAATGATCAAAACCAAACTCGGAATTATTTAGCTAAAGTATAGAAAATCACAAGTCATCTACATACATACAACTTGGCTATTTATAGTTCCTAAACACTTCTTCCACTTAAACAACCCTTTCCAAATTCAATAACTTCTGTAAAACCGGTTGATCACACATCGGTGAGGCACCAGAGTCACAACCATCCATGACACGTCTTCAAGGCCCAAGACGAAGAGGAGATCATCTTCTCTGGATGCGAGCTTGACCTTCTCGGACAAGCTTTCAAGTGTACGAATAGAGACTGGGATTACTTCTTGCACAAGTCATGTTTCGACCTATCTTTTGAAATCAATCACAAGACTCACCCTGACCACCCTTTAACTCTGCTTCATTCCACACCTTATGATGGTCAGTCTTTCGGGTGTAACGAGTGTGGTCCGGATCCGGATTCACTTACAACTGCTCTGAGACTCTGAGTGCCAGTACGATGTTCATGTAGGATGTGCTTTTATCCCAGAGACCATGGAGCGGGAAGATCATGAACACCAACTCACTCTACTTTAAATCAGTTTTAAACTCATCTTTCTCGTAATATTTATTTCAATATTCGTGATTAAATCACTATTTTTAAATAGTTGTGCTAATTTTTTGATCCTACATATATGAAGACAGGTGATGATGTTGAAAATTATTGAGAGGTGATAAGAGAATGTGGATTGCTAATGACATTGTTTTTGTTTTTCAATTTTTAGCGTGAAATGTCGATGCAACAATTTCCAGTCATCGACTTTTTCTTTATTATATAGAAGTTCATGTTGACCACGTTTAAAATCAGGCTGGAAATTTGAGTAGGATAATTCTCTAAAATATCACAGTTTTAATTTATTTTTTTGGGTCGAAATCACAGTTTTAATTTAATGACTTTTTTCACTAGAGAGTTAAAAACTCACAAGTAACAGAAGTTGGTAATGTTAAGACCTAATTATTTTGGTCAATATTCTGCGTTAATTGGATGGCATCACCGAACTATTGTTATTGTTAGATTGGTTCACCCGCTATCACTCGTAAACATAGTTGGTAACGGTTAGTGGCATTTTATAACAATCATAGAAATCGCTTCAAACCGCTATGTATAATTTTGTACCGTTAAAATTCAAAAGCTGCTTCTCACAAGCGTTTGCAGTTGCGGACAGTAACGATGAGTAAAAAAAATATAAAAAAGCTACGCTAGAAAAAAAAAGATCATGTTAAAAAAAAATATGAAACTTTAACCTTATTGGTATTGTCTTCTATATATATAAACTCTAATCTTATCATTTTTTCCATCAAGTTCTAATCTTTGTATCCTAAGCATGACTTCCATACCATTGAAGAAAGTCATACCACTAGCATAAATGCCACAATATTTTGGAGAAATTGGATCTATAGAAGAAATTTTGCATCATGCATAAGATAAATCATGAAGATTCACGTATTAGAGCAATTTTTTTCTAGTTTGTTACATTACTGGACACAATTTTGGATGATATTTTCAACAATTGAAATAAAACATGTCATTATAAAATTTATTAGTTTTAGAATAATTATTCAGTATTTATTTATGATTTTATTATTAATTATTTTGAACTAGTGATTTTGATATTTAGCATAATAATATAATTTCTAAGTTTTTATAATTACAATCTATATACTTATTTTTGTAGTAAAAATGTTACGTGTCAGCTCCACAACGAGTTTCAAAATGTTTTGTTTACGTGTCAGCTCTACAATGAGTTTGGCTGCAAAAAGACTTTTTAACTCTATTTTTTAATTAAGTGTCATTTTTTTGATTGGTTCCTATTTGATTATATGTTAAAATAACTTAAAAATACCGCTCTAAATTACTATGATTTAATACTTCAATTCAATGTCAATCAAACCATTTTTAAAATTTAATAAAATCGATATTTAGTCAAATCTAGTGAAAATGTAAAAATCAGTAAATGTAATGTTTAATGAAATGACGGTATTTGTGATATTTAAATAAGATTTTTCGACTTTAAATATTTAAATATAAATATGTATACGATTTCTCTTTAACTCTCTTACACGCTTCTAAATTGTTTAATCTCTTCATTCTTCATTGAAGAAGTTCGGTACTTCAAATCATTATGTTTCCTTTCTATGATTATTATGAATATATATAATTTGTATCTTCATTCAAAAAAACATATCAGCTCAATGGACAAAAAAAAGACAACAATAGTATTTATAACAAACAAATATACTTAGAACCAGTAATCATGACATGAAAGTTAGCGACCTTATTTGGGATACTAACAATCCTCGTTTCTGGAACATAGAAAAAATCAATGCCATGGTAGAACAAGAGGATCAAGACCATATTAAAAACATTTATCTACCACAGGTTCCAAAAGAAGATAAAGTGGTTTGGGCTCACAACACTTAGGAGAATACTCAGTTAAAAGTGGATATAGGATGGTTTTCAATGCATCTCGTTCTGCTAATCCAGATATTGTCATCCCTCATGGTGATCCAGAACTAAAGTGTCAAATTTGGAAAATGACAATAATGCCTAAGTTAAAGCATTTTCTATGGCGTTTATGTTCAAAAGCAATAGGAGTTGCTACTCGATTAAACTCTAGAGGGATGCAATTTGATAATACATGTCAATGATGTTGCGCAGCACCAGAATCCATATGCCATACGTTTTTTAATTGCCCAATTTCAATGATGATTTGGAGAACATCTCGATCCCTATGGCTACCTTTTGTTTCTGCTAATGATGATGTGGAAGATCAAATTAAAAGTATCATTACTTTCCAAAATCAAGAGGGAATTTCTGATTTTCAAAGACTTCTTCCTATCTGGGTTTTATGGCGGATATGTAAATCAAGATGTAATCTGATTTTCAAACGGATACGTGTCTGTCCACAAAGAGTGGCTCATGAGGCAGAGCTGGATGTTTCTCAATGGTTAAAGGCTGTTGAACAAACATCACATGAAGATGAATCTCGTAGAACTTCTCTACGCAATATCCAAGAACGATGGAAACCACCAAAAGTTAACTACGTCAAATGTAATGTTGATGTAAGTTTGAACGCGGAGCAAAACCGGTCTACAGCAGGATGGATTGTTAGAGATTATAGAGGAATTCCATGTTTTTGGGGTTCAGCCTTTTTGGGATCAGCCACCACTCCACTTGAAGGTGAAGCAAGAGCAATGCTACTATCAATGCAATAGGTCTGGGCTCAAGGAATGACTCATGTCTGCGTTGAAGGTGATTGCAAAGTCCTCATTGATATTCTCAACAACAAACAGCACAACTACAATATCGAAACCATCTCCTGTGATATTCAAAGTTGGAAACAAAGATTTACTTCTTGCAAGTTCTTTCACACAAAGAGAACAAACAATGTTTCAGCTCATCTACTCGCTAAACATGGACCTCTTAATTTATTGTCTTATTCGTCAAAATTGTATCCTCCTATCTGGTTGTATAATGCTGTAATTTCTGATTGTAACACCAATTTCAATTAATAAAATACTACTTTGCCGAAAAAAAAACAATAGAAAATAAAAAAAAATGAATCTAAACTACTACTAAATTTTCAAACAATCAAATGAATAATTATATCAGTCACTAGTTATCTTTATTTTGGTAATTTTATGTTTAACCACTAATAGATCTGTTGGTCAGTCAGTCAAAAATGTCCCGCAAATGGATCTGTTTTCAACAGTTAAACCAGTCGTACAAACCATTAAATAACGCTTGAAACCGCTTTCGCCTGCTTCTTCTGCAAACTCCCGCAGTCGCAATCACAACCGTTTCGTTTAAAGCAGTCAGCCCCCTAATCATATCACTTAACCCCAAAAGAGGTTATAAATTATGTTTAACCTTACTTTACGGAGGTTGCAGATGATAAGCATTGATCAGTTGGAAAAATTGATCTAATTATATATATGCATGTTACTAAATTAATATTTGACCTTATTTCACAGAGATTCACCTTGCAAAAGATAAACATAATTTATAACTTCTTTTGACCTTGTTTAACCTAATTTTATGGAGGTTGCAGAATGCAGAAGATAAGTATTGAAGGGAAAAAATTGATCTAATTATATATATATATATTAGTAATAATTATTTAATCTTAATTTTTTTTGGGTCAATTTGATATGAATTAGAATATATGTTGCTGCACTCTCATTGGTCAACCCTCTTTTATAAAGACATGACATATGTGTAGTTAAACATAATAAAAGAGGGTTGGCCAATTCGATATTAACTAGAATATATGTTTCTGCATCTCAAAGGTCAACCCACTTTTAAGACATGACATATACATAGGTAAACATAATTAAAAGAGGGTTGACATATAATATAGCTTTTATAAAGACAGGCATATCAAATTGAGACATGACATATATTTATATAAGCTACAACTTGGTTAATGATTAAAGCAAAGTCATAATTATAAATATCAAAATTTTCTTCAGTTTTGGGTATTTATAGTTCCCATACATTCTCTCGCAAGGCCACAACAACCAAAAACCTTCGAAAACATACCAAGAACAGTATGGGTTCAGGAAAAACTATTAACCGCCCATCGGTGAAACACCCGAGTCACAATCATCCGTTGCGGGTCTTCAAATCCCAAGAAGGAGATGAGATCATTTGCTCTGGATGCGAGCTTGACGTCACCGGAAAAGCTTACAAGTGTATGAAGAAAGACTGCAATTACTTTTTGCACAAGTCATGTTTTGACCTACCTGGTGAAATTAATCACAAGTCTCATCCTGATCATCCTTTAACTCTGCTTTATTCCCCACCTTATGGTCAGTCTTACGGGTGTACTGCGTGCGGTGATTCTGGATCCGGATTCACTTACAACTGCTCTGAGTGCCAGTACGATGTTCATGTGGGATGTGTTTTTATCCCCGAGACCATGGAGCGTGAAGATCACGAACACCCACTCACTCTACTTTACAACACACCGTGCAAAGGTCGTGAGGATGGTCTGATATTCATATGTGATGTTTGTGAAGAAGATATGTCAGAGGATCTTTGGGTCTATTACTGCAAAAAATGTGACTATGGAACACATGTGCATTCTTGTGCGGTTTCTGAAGATGATAAGCCAAAGAAAGATAGAGAAGAAGAAGGAGAACCAAGCTCCCCGGCTTCAAAAATGAAGTCGCTGATGAAAGCTAGGGAGGAGATGGCAATGATGCAACTAGAGCTAGATGCTATGGACGCAGCAAATAGTTATGTCGATTCATGGGGGCCAAGGAGGAGATATTATTGGTGAATGATGAATGTTGGGAAAAGGAAGAGGATGATCAACTTCACACTACAAATTTGTGTATTAGTTGCTGTTGTGAATTTCGGGTATGAAAAAAAAAAAATAAGAAAATGTTTCAAACTCTGATTTCTTTGTTTCTTTGTATGTTTTGTGACTTTTTTTTCTCTTTCATGTGGCTTGTTGTGAGATTTGATGTAATCTGCTATGAATAAAAGAACTATGAGCTTTTTGATTATATACACTTTTTACTTTGTTATATATACAGCATACACAATTTTTTTACTAGTACTGAAAATAAATGAATAATATTAGTAGACTAATTATGTGCCTAGGATGATAAAACTAACAAAGTGAATTTAACAATGTTTTTACTAGTAAAACTTTATTCGCTAATGGATTAATAAATCTTTATTTATTTATTTTTATCAATCTTCATATGTGAAAGTTGTGTTTGGTCTTCTTTTCTTTATAAAGACTTTTAGACTTTTAGTTATATCTCAACATTACAAAACTTAATTGTTTCCGTCAATTGTTTTGAGAGAGTCTAGAGGCTTCATTATTTAACTACATACATCATTAAATTATTAAATTTATTATTAATAATAGACCAATAATAAAATTTACTAATACTAATCATAGATTATTTAATGAAACCTATTTATTTAATAGAATATTAAACCTTACATTAAGTTTTTTTTAAAAAAATAGTTCTTCCTTTGGCAAAAATTTTTTCCTGTTTCATGAAAATTGGAAAATTCTTGGGTTCACCCCTAGGGGTGAATGAATGAATTCACCCCCTTTCATTTAAGCCAATTAGAATCTGCCATATAATATTATATTTAAAGAAAAATAAAAAAATAAAATTAAAAGATTAAATACTCAATCAAATATTTTGGTAAAATATATATATATATATATATAATAAATAATGTATATAAAGATTAGAATTTAGATTTAAGTTATATTTTAATTTTTTTTAAAGGTTTATAGATTATGATTTAGAGTATAATAGAATTTAGGATTTAAAAATTAGAATTTAAAGATTAGGTTTAAAAGTCCGAAAATAAAACAAATAATTATAATATATATATATATATATTTATTAAAAAAATATAAATAAAATTTAATATTATGCTTGGGTTCACTATTTCCAATTTAGGTTTTAGTTTTTCTTTATTTAAAATTCTAAAATAAAACAAATAATTATGTAAAAATATATTTTTATTAAAACTAATTCTACATAAACTTCAATATTATGTTTGGGTTCACTATTTCCAAATTAGAATTTAGTTTTTTCCATTAAAAAATAATTTAATATTATATTTGGGTTCACTATTTCCAATTTAGGGTTTAGTTTTTTTTTTTTTAAATTTCGAAACTAAAATAAATAATTGTGTAAAAATATATTTTTATTAAAAATAATTCTACATAAACTTTAATATTATGTTTGGGTTCACTATTTCCAAATTTGGCTTTAGTTTTTTCTTATTTAAAAAAATATTTAAAATGTGCTATTTTGGTAAGTTATTTTAATTGATTTTATTATATGGTAGATTCTTATTGGCTAAAATGAGAGGGGGTGAATGAATGAATTCACCCCTAGGGGTGAACCCAAGAATTGTCCATGAAAATTGTCTCTCTTTGTTGGTATTTATCTTTTATGCAAGCACATACACAAAATTTTGATATCATAACGTAGGTAATTAAACAATCTCTTTCATAGTTTTGATATCATGTAAAGTTTCACCTCTAAAATAGTCATTACTTATATACATTAAGTCTTTAGATTATTATAATTCCTCATTTTCTCTAACTGAAAATCTCTTCCTCTTTTGTTGGAATTGTCTCTTATTCTTGTCGGTTTTTATCTTTTACACAAGCGTAAACACGAAAATATTATATCGGAGCGTAAGTAAACAATCACTTTATTAGCTTTGATATTATTTTAAGTTTCAAATCTGAATTAGTCATTATTTTTATACACTATTTTTATGGATGAATTTCTTTTTTTTCTCCGTAACCCAAACTCGTCCTGGCTTATTACCCGGATCCAAGAAACACAATCCGAACAAAAAAATCAGATTCGGATCGGCTTCGGTTTGTATACAATAACTGAATGGTTCTTATCTAGATTTCATTCGATTTTTAGTTTGGGTCAGGTATAAAAAACTTAAATCGCATTTATTGTGAATTCGATTTCCTTCTCCTTCTCCTTGCATTTTGAATTCAATCCCTAACAATGTAAACATTCGATTTCATTTCTCCTTTTTTGCATTAACAACTAATAAAAACCCCAAATCGGGAAATCTGGAAACCCTAATTGATCTATGTCTCGGTCCCCATTCTCCTCCTTCATCGTCGAGAATTCTTTCTCAGGTGAGTGACATAATCTCAAACTCAATTCACTTTTCAACCTCTTTCTCGAACAATTTATGTCTTTATTTTGGTTTGCTGTTTGATTTCCTGAGGATTTTTGTAATTATAAGCAATTGAGTCATGTTTTTGTTTACACAGATGGATTCTTTCTCACCTACTCTTGCAAAGGAAACCACGGACGATGATCCCGACACTAATCCTGTAACTGCTAGTAGAAAAAAATGGAAAGAGAATATGGTAAGTGAAGCTAGTTCTCCTCCACGGAAGCCGAAGAAGAGAAGTAGCACTAGATCTTTCGTATGGGATCACTGTACAAGGACTGAAGAGGATGTGAATAGATGCATCTGCCACTATTGTAGCAAGTTCTTTGGTTGTGCGACTTTTGCTGGAACTTCAAGTTTGAGGAATAATCTAGGTATATGCAAGGGACACATTGCGTTGGAGGAAACTAAGAAAGAGAGGCAGAATAGCATTACTCCTGAAACTGCAAATGGGTTGCAATTGTCAAAAGTATCTGAAGAAGTGTTAAGGGAAGCATCCAACGAGATGCTTGTCTTGGCTAAGTTACCTTTTTCATTCATTGAAAGTGTGGCATGGAAATATATATGCAGTCGGTGAACCTTCCAAAGCCTAAATCCCAGAGAACAGCCACTCGAGAAATCATTAAGATGTATGTGAAGAAAAAAGAAGTTATGAGGAAAATATTTGGTGCAAACAAGCAAAGGGTGTCTTTAACAACAGATATTTGGGTTATTCTTACTACAGGAGCTAGCGACATGGTTATCACAGCACATGATGATGGGCCTAGGATTGCTCGTCTTTTTGCAAGCACATTGGTCTGAAGTTTAAAATTTATAAAATTCTAGTGTCTGCAAGTGCACAGATGTACGTTGTATGACTTAGGGTGTCGATCCACAGGGAAGATATCTAATCTGAAAGAAACTAAACTGGGAGAGTAAGCAAAATCATAAACTCATGGGGGTTTGGGGTTTTTGGTTACGAATCCTAAACTAGTCCTAATCTAATATTTACGGGAAATAAAATATAATACAAATGAGTTGCTAAAAGAATATCTCAAGGGTGTTCGACTCAAACTATAGACTCTAGACTCATAGTGGGCGATTAAGACTTCTAAGGTTTACTCTAATCGATGTCAAAGCATTTCCAATTAGCTTCCAGACAATTTATCTTCATCTATCTTCTGGGATCTGCATGGAAGTGGAATATACATGTGTATGATAAACCAACTCTCGCCATCTTAATCAACTAATCACTCAAATCTGACAATTAACTCTCACTCTCATGCCATAAATAATATCATATATTAACTATTGAATTTGTTTGCTCACATCTTCTCTACAGGTAGCTCTCGACTCCTGTAGCGACTATGTTCTTCTGAAGCTAGGTATGGATGATCTGATACAGCACTCGCATGGCTCTGATCGATCCTATAGGCTTAGAGAATAGGACATGAATCTGCTCTCATGCAATATGAACAACTTAGAAGAGACGAGATCTAGAATATGGTTTAGAAACTTAGAAATCATAATCGAACATGTATGCCTATCGATGACTCTTTAGAAACTTGACTCTCTGTGACTAATCTAACATGATGCAAGGAATGATAAAAGACATGAAAGAATGCAAAGATGAAACAGAAAATTTAATTAGATAAAAAGAGAAAGAACAATGGATCCAGGGAAGAATCCCCTTCTCCATCGCCTAGCACTAGAAAAACAAAGTTTGGTGGCTCAAAATCTCATTACAGGAGCACACACTCGTTTAGGACTGCTAATAAATGTATTTATAGGTCCTAAGGTCTTCCAGGTCTCATTTAGGGCTTCTCTGAAGAGGAATGGCGAAATGAACTTTGATGTTGGGCTTTGTGGCTCGGCATAGGTCCACCAAGGGTGAGAGTATTCCAGGGCATATCATGATGCCTCCTTAAAACCATTGATGAGAAATTTAGATGTCAAGATTAGGTCCAAGTAAAATATCCTGCCAGAAAATATCTCCATGAGTAGAAGTCCTCTGGTGGGATTTCGTAGTGCAAGTACTCTAACTACCGCCTAATCTAGTAATAAACCTTGAAAGAGCTTTATCTTATCTGATAGTGTAGAAGCAGACAGGTTGGTTATCATCATTGATTTTGTCATTATTCCCTCAAAATGTATTTGACCTTTGAAAACACTTTTTGAAACTGAAAAGACTTCTGAAAAGTTTTAAGAAAACCAAAAAAATACTAAAAATTTTAAAGAAAAATGCAGAATGCAAAGGCTCATGCAAGAAAATGTGGTCAGTAAGGGATGGAATCCTCCCCTAGACTTAAACCTTAATGCCCCCAGTGTGAAATAAATCAGGAAAGGATGAGAAATAGAGTATGTGAAAATTTAAAAGATTAAAGAAAAGAAAACTTATTTGGTATGATAGTGAATGGCGGATGGTGGTTGATGAGAGTGGTGCTTGATCAAATTGGGATTTATTTGAATCAAGGTAGAGGTGGAAGTGGCCAAAGGTGGCAGAACTGATGCTTGCCGCGGGTCAAGGTGTCGCGGCCGCGACAAAATGCTTCCTGGCCACGGCAAAACGCTTCCTGGCCGCGGCTGAACCTCTCTCGGCCGCGGTCAACT